CAAAATGCAGGATTTTGGGTCGCCCCCCCCCCCCTTTCTTGGCTTCGATTATTTTCAGGATTTTTAGGAAAGGGACACTTTCATCTCTGCACTAACCCTAAATATTTTTACTTGGTAACTTCTCATATAAAAATTATGATATTGGCTCTTTTTTTTTTTTTTGTAGAGAAAACATGTAATTATTAATTTTGTATATTAGTGCAGAAACACCATTTTTCAGACTTTGTCTACTTGCATTTTGAATCCTTTGCACCACTTTCCGCTTGAAAATTGCAATTACTTAATCAAATTTGGAAGGAAAAGCTACATTCCAAAAATGCTAAGTTTACCAGGCATCTTTAACATAAAACATAATATTAATTTAATAAATATAGAAATATTTTTTCAAAATTATTTGGATTCAGTATGTTAAAATTATGAAGTTATTATATGATAATGTTCTTGAGCAGGTAGTTTTTATTGTATAATGTCTTATTTTTTATTTTTTTTTGCTGCTTCTGTTATTTGTTTTGCAAGTTAAAACATTACATCAGTACCTAAAGCATATTGTATTGATAATTATATATATAAATATTTTGGTGTGAAAGTCATGTTGCTTTTGTATATTTTGTAGATTATCACTCTGGATTGTCCTAGTGCCTTAGTATGGAACAATATTGGGGAAGGAAAGTCTCACTCTATCTTGAATGGATCTCCACTGGACTTGCTGCCTTGTAGTCCATCTAGTCTTCCAATGCCTCCAAGGCCTTACAACCCACAGGTATAAGCAGGATTGAACATTTTATTTTTAAAATTCTAGGCTTTATTTGAAAGACAGATATAACTTCCCCAAAAGGGGGCCGAAGGCCAACTGAGGGGTCATTTATTTTAAACACTCACACCATTGTACAGTAGTGTGTTGTCTGTCAGTCAGTCAGTAGACACTAAAATGGAGTCACGTAAGGGATGCTTAACGTTGCAATTTGTACTATATGATGTCAGTAAAACATGAGCATGCCATGAATCATGAGAAGAATTACACCCTCTGTAGGTTACAACACAGCACAACATGTGAACTTCAAAAGCAAGAAATAAAAATATTTGTTACTCTTAATTTTGGTTTTATTTATTCTTGAAACAGAACACTTTCTGGGACCCTGCGGAAGTATATCTAGTGTACATGTGATTATAAGTTAACAAATCTCTATATTTAATATACTTTATGTTTACCACATTTTAATTTACTTGGGTTTTGAGGTATGGTTTTATGGACTATACATTTTTTTATTAATAAAAAACTGTATCTAACTTGACCAATTGAAGGCAACATTCAATCAGTTTCATACTTAGATTTCTTGAACTTCGGTGTAAAGATTATGATCTTGAAGTCTTAAAATAAAAATCTTTAATTTTAAAACATTTCTAATAATCCTTTTAAGATAAGACAGGAACTTCGACAGGCAGAACAGCAAATCCGAAAGAGAAGTCAGGCTGCTGAAGCTAGATGGTCGCACGACAGATGGCATCAAACTGCTGCAGGTATAATCAATTCACTTGAAAAATTAATTGATCTGGAATTAATGTTTAATTGCAAATGGTTTTTTATTACTAATATTTTTACAGAGAATAAGTCTTTATAGCATCTTTGCATAAACTTTCTGAAAAAGAAAAAAAACCTAAGCAACACTCAGGAAAATGCATGTTCTAACATTCCAACACTACACAATATAACATACTTCTTGTAATTCCCTATCATTCAAATTCAAGAAAGTCTCGGGCTTCTTGAAAAACAGATCCATTTTTCTTCATCTTGATTTTTTTCCAAGCTCAAAAATATAACTATCATTATGGTGAATAAACCTAGCCAAGCTTTGCAGATCGTTTCAACAAAAATAAATTTTATATTGATAATGAAAAAGGGCTTCCATTTGCTCCATATTTTGATCAGTAGGGTTATTCTATTAATGATCTGCTGATTTTTGATATTGAAAATGGATTTAAATTTAAAGCAGATAGATAAAAGAAATTTATTAGCATTCTTGTGACATTAAACTTAACTGAAAGATTTTTTTTCTCTTTATTTGTGAATGAGATCTTTTCTCTGCTTCTGCCTCTTTCTTGCTTAATTACTTTTTTATATTTGTATACATATGTTTCTGTCTTGTTTATTTACTTACACTGGAATTAACACTTGTACCTGTCTAACATTATGACATATTTTACAACAACATGCATATCTCATAAAACTACCTGATGTTATTTAACCCTCCTATCACAATAAATGTGCAAACTTTCAAATGTTAAGTGCTACACCTGCATACCATATTTCAAATATTAAGTAAAAGAATAATTCTGTCTCTATTTTAAAAAAGTTTAACTCAAAATTACTTTAGAATTTACATTTTGTAACATCTACTTGTGTAATTAACAGGGAAAAAGAAAGTGTTCCAATTTTCATCTCCATGCAGCTTTGAGGAATCTTTCTCTAAAATAATACATTTATTGATATTTAGAATTTTTTCTTTCCATCCCAAAGTATAGGTTTGTATTTACCTGGAAATTAAAAGCCTTTGAAGTTATGATTCAGTTCTTGCTTCTCATATGATTTTCCTTCTCTGTTAGTGATTTTATTACTATAGTCTTTCATTGCTACCATTTTATGATGACACAACATGTGCTCTGAACAATTACTAAAGATACTCAGCTTTGAAAATAGGTAATGTTTAAATATGATTGGATAGAGTACATTATGAGCTAGCTACATCAGTATAGAGTAAATAAAGGGATTTCTTAAAATACTGACTAAGCAGATCTCCTGTAGGGGTGAACATAGGATTTTATTGGAAGCAACATTTATACATAAATCTGGAAATTTTTATAGTTTTTACATGATTTTGTTCCTGAAAAAAATTTTTTTTTTTACATTATTTCTGTTTGAAAGTTACAGAAATTTCCTCTTGTAAGCTTAGCTAGGTTTATTGAGTACAGTATGTGATGGCAAAATATTCTGATGACTCATATTCATTTATTGTTAAATTTATCATATCAAAACAAGTAAAAGAAATGGTTATAATTATGTATTGAAAAGAAACTATATTTATCAGACACAAAAACATTGTTAGCAAAAAATCATGGTACCTAGCTTGACGACAGTTGTTAATAATTTTTTTTATGATTTATAGCTGGAAGTGTGATTACTGCAACTGATAAAATATATTGATAAATATCAAGCAAGTTGGAATTCACTGGTTACATAAAATAGATCATTCTCATCAATGATAATAAAATTTTAAATTCCTAGAAGCAAGAATGTATTTTTAATGTTTTTCAGAACAATGTCTCTCAACATATCTTGGAAATTCACACCATAAAAATGATAGAAAAACTCAATCAAATTATATTTTTTCTGGTATGGAAAGGGTTAAGTTCATTTGACTCTTCAGTTTTAGTTTTACTTGTTATATTTCATTGTTTTTTCACAAAAGGAGGTCTAGTTTTAGAAAAAGATTCAGTTTGTTAAGTTTCTATAATTATGACTCAGCTGCTTTTGTGATCTTTTATGCTTTTGACAGTATATTTCTTTTAGTTCAATGTAAAATCTAATTGCGTATAGAAGTGTAAGTCCAAACAGACTATTTAATGCTATCTTTTGGTCACTACTAGACAGGTATGTGAAGCAGTTTATTTTTCATTGTCAGCTTATGTTTGCTCCCTATTCTCTCACTAAGTGAAGTGTATAACAACTTCCATATTATCATTATTAAGATTATTGTGAGAAAAGTGTTAAAACTAAGTCGGTTGCTTCTAGGTTTGTATGGTCTGTTAGATACAGTTCTACATCACGTTATATGACTCAATGCTTTATTCAACTTAAGGAGAATTCCTAGTGTTAAGTACTACAAAACCCCATTATAATATGTTTAACCAGTTTTTAGCTATATGGTTAAAATATATTAATGTATATATATCACCTTTACAGGTACTACCATCACAAGAGTCTTGAATGCTCTGGATGCCTTGGATAGACATAGTTTTGATAAAGTAGAATCTGGAAACTCTTTGGACACTTTATATAGCAAGGTGTTTCCTCAGAGCTTTAGTAAGGAACGTACTACTATTGGAGAAGTTCTTTTACAGGATGAACCTGTAATCAAACTACTGTGTGAGTGGGCTGTTACCACCAATCGTACAGGAGAGCATCGAGCAGTGGTGGTAGCAAAATTATTAGAGAAGCGACAAACTGATTTCACAACTGAGGTATATATAAACATTTAGATTTGTATTAGTTAATTTGTCTATATTCACTGATTCTTTTATCCATTATAGGATTTTAGTTAATTTCTGTATAATAAATTTATTATGTTGAGAATTTGATTGGCTTGCATTTAAATACAGGATTGTTTTTTAGTGAAATTGTGCTCTTATGTGTGGTACACAGCATAATTTATTGAGCCTCACTTTCATAGTAAGATCTGATTACAGAGTTTTACATACATATACACACACACACACACACACACACACACACACACAGAAAATTCTAATATTATAAATATACATATGATTGGTCTGAAATTCATACATATCCTTGTTGGTTTCAGAAATTTGGAGACTTAGAGATGATGGATGAAAAAGACTCCCAAGACTCTGGTGGGATGGTTCCTGTTGGTTTGCCACTCTATCAAAATTTGTTAGTGGATTTTCTTGATACTCAAGCTCCTGTAATAGGTAAGAGTTACTTTCAAATATGTGTAGCAATGCTGCTGTTTTAGTCCATGGTTTGCCTTGTTGTTCTTGTGGTCTGTACTGATGATAGTGTTATAAGAACAGTCATGATAATTCCACATGACAAAAATTAAGTAGTATATTTGAATTGTTGTAAAAAAAAGTAAAAGTTTTGCATCCCTTGTAATTATGTATATATATATATATATACTTCAAATTTTGATTAGTTAGATAATAAAATTTCATAAAAAACACATTAATTGATTGAGTATATTATTTTGTTTAGTTGTTTTGTTGAGATTAAAGCTTTTGCTTTCTTACATTATTTTTCATTTGCAATCTTCTTTTACACACATTACTTTCAAAGTAAAATACAAATGACCTAAACCTTTTTTTTGTATGTTGTTTCAGATGAAAAGATGTCACAAGAAAGCAAGATTGGTTTTTCTAATTTGGTTTTACTGTTTGCTGAACTTATTCGATATGATGTTTTTTCCCATGATGCATACATGTGTACTCTTATATCACGAGGAAGTTTTGCTGAGCCTCCTGGAATGCAACCAGGATTGTTGGGAGTTTTGGTGCCCGGAGCAGGAAGAAACGTAACAGCATTGGAGCCTCCTCTTACAGGTTTCATGGCAACTCCATCTAGGGGTTTTTCACCTGGTCCTGGCAGCACAGGAGGGCTTGGGTTTGTAGGAAGTGACTCTACCCGACAGCAAGACCCCTTACCCATGTTTGATCCCGTGAGCAATAGGCCTAATACAAACAGGCATGAGGTATAGGAACACAGTGTTGATGAAAAAAATTATCTAAGTTAGCCAACATAAAATACAAGGTTGTTTTGATAATTGATATTAGATTGTATTTAAAGCTCATCAGCAAAGATCTAGTTTGTCTTTTAGATAAACATTTTTATATTATTTGAGTGCTTGAAACTAAGAGTTGTGTAAAAAAACATTCATTACATTACATTATTATTATAATTAAAGCGCACGTCATTATCATTTAAGTATGTATTTCTTTCAGTTTAAACCACATTTAGATGTTAAGGATACTGTTTATGCAAACTGTAAAGGGGGAATAAAGCTTGAATGCTTAAGAAATGTAACTACCTGCTTCATTTAAAGTTGTGTGAGCCTGTGTAGTCTGTATTTTCTTGTATTTCCCATCAATGTATTCTTCAACATAAATAAATGTTGAAAATTTGAAACATCTAAAGTAACCTAGAACTACTCTTGATGTTTTATTGTGTGAGTTGTTTTTATTAACATTTCTTGTTGACAGGGGTCATGGGATGCCCCCACAGACCTTGATGATGCTCACATAGATGCAGATCTTGACCAGATTCTTCAGAACATCAAAGAAGGTCAGCAGAACATGAGTGACCAGCCAGGTAACTGCAATTATTTCTGTAGTGATTGTTGATTTGATAACTGTTTGGCTCAGTATATCTGTTCTCTGTCAGTTTTTTGGCCATCACAAAATATTGTTTAGTAAACATGACTATAGGCTTAAGTTTACACGTAATTGCTTGTTTTAAAAGATATTGTCCTGCTAATTTAAAAAAAAAAGTATTACAATCATTTTATCATCAGGCTCATATTTGTCATTGAATTTGAAAGATTTTAATGATACTCAGACAACAGCTTTTTTTTTTTGAAATGTTTGGTAGAATATCATTCCTTTAATGTTTTTTAATCATTTCTCTTTGTCTATGGCCAATGTGACTGTTAGAAACAGATATATACTTTTTTTATGTGACACTTGTTTACAAGTACTTATTCTTTTTGCTTACTTTTACAACTTCTTTATCTGGCTTTAACAAACTTATGAATAACCTTTTGAAAATCTAAGAAGCTTTCATATATTATTTGGATAGAACTTTTTAGTGCATGGTTTTGTTGTCGACAGAGATTTGGTCACAATATATCCAGTAGTTATCTAGAGTTATAAAGTTTTTGATAGTTTTAAAACAGATTTTATCATTGAAAATTATGAAAAATAAGCCTTGTGGCAATACATTAATTCTGTCATAGTCTTAAGTTACTATTTCAACATATTTCCCTATTAAAATGGAAAAAAAAAAGTCAGGAACTGCCTTTATGTAAAGTCTTTCTCCAATGCAATAATTTTTTAATATGTTTTAATAGTAACACTTAAATGGGCTTGGACTGGCCCAGTAATTAGATTGCTGGACTGTGAATCTGAGGGTCAGTAGTTCTTGTGCTGTTATAAGAATGATGGTCAAATCCACTATTCAGTAAGAGTAGTACAAACTCTACAGTGAGTGCTGTTGACTAGTTGCCTTCCCTCTAGTCTTTTAATTCAAAATGAGGATGCAGATAGCCCTTGTGTAGCTGTGTGCAACTATCAGAAGCAGATTTTTTAGAACATATTTTCATTTAAAAAAAAAATTGGGAACTGTTTTTATGTGAAGTTTTGTTGTAATATGGTAATTTTTTTTTGCTTTTCAAATCGCTGCTTACACCATATTTTGCTCATAAAATAGAAAAAAAAATCAGGAACTGTTTTTATATGAATCCTTGCTGCAATATGGTTATTCTGTTATAGTTTTTTCAAATCACTGTTTATACTATATTTTGCTCCTAAAATAAAAAAAATCAGGAACTAGGTTTATGAGAAGACACCTCGTCCTGAAAAATAGCTTGATGTAACCGTTGATGTATTGAAAAAATGTTTTTAAACAGATGTAATGTTTTTTTATAATGTAATGTTGAAAATAAGTTAGAATAACATCCACTGTTAGATATCATGCAACAAACCAAGTGGAATTGGTTTATTATGAAAAAACTATATCTTTGACTAAAAACAAAAAACATTACAGTGTGGAAACATTTAGGAGTTTTTTAAGATGACATAAAGTTTAATTTGCAATTTAGGCCAGTTATTTAGAAATAAAAAAATGTCATATTAAGCTTATTAACTTAAAATAACTGTATTCATATTCTCAGATTGGTGGTTAATGTTGCTAGATAGCAGCAAAAGTGCTAAGGTATGCATAGCAATGAAAATTAATTCTACCAAACACCATCTGATGAGTTAAGATTAGAGTCAACAGTCTGTTTTAGTATATTTTGAGGATTCTAATTGGCAAGATAATGCTACTATGACTGTCATATTTCAAGCATTGCAGTACAGTTTGAAGTATCAAACACCTATATAAAGTTCTGCAGAATAAACTTTTCTTTTCTGTTAAATTAAAATCTGTATGTTTCATACGTAAGTTACTTGGTGAAACTTTGAATAAGAATAAATATTTGTAAAGACTAAGACTCCTTGATTAGGATTAAGCAACTATATATAAAAATAATAATTTAGAGCAGTTCCACCCAGGAATGAAGGGATAAGTAAAACAAGGCATATAGTTTTTAGAAAAAATATATATATGTGCATGTGATGTTTTAAAGTAAAGGATTTATTGTTTCTAGAAATACTTTTTATTTTAAGGTTTAATATATTTATTTATGTCAAACACTTTAATTTCTTATACTTCCAGTAAACTGTACGTAGAATTTTAAGCTGTGCTATCATAATTTTCTGATGTAGGGGCTGCTTCATGGTGCTTGTTGTATAATGTCTCGTTACTGTAGAAAGTGCTAACATTTCTTATTGGCCCAGACTGCTGTTCTGTAATGGTAATATCATCTGGTATATAGTACATTGAGATAATGCTCCTGTATGGTATCTCTTTTCACATCTTGCAGTAGTATATAAGAAGTTTGTTGTTTGAAAGTTAGCACATCTGCAAGCAGAGTTTGCAATAGTACCAGCAGTACCAGGTTGCTGGGACGGTACTTGAGCATCTGTAATCATGTGACTTGAGCGGTTAGAAATTCAACTATTTCTCCCAGTGTGTTCTCGTGGGAAATTTTTTCCACATCAGACCAAATTGTCAATTATCTGTAAGTCAACATGGTATGATAACTATGGCAATGAATCAGTTGAAATCTAGGCTTTCTATTGGTTATAAATTTAATCGGAGTTAACCTCAAAAAAATCTATTGGCAAATGGTAAAGTACATCATGTCAGAGGTAGGCGTGGAAAGTGGTTTCTGAATTTTTATTGATTGCTCTTTAGCCCCATAAGATTGAAGCATATACAAATATAGCTTCAGAATATGGATGCCAAAATTATAGAAAATATTTTTATGTTACGTTTCTTAGTTTTCTAGGGGGTGAACAAAACAAGTCCAAAAGAGGATACGGCTCAAGAACAAATATTTAAATTCTCACACTAGGGGAATTTGAGGTTGTTTTTAAATATTTCCTTATATAATTAAGAACCTAAAACTTATATAATATAAAAATTTGATTTTTTATCTATGGTTTGATGTCAAGTTTGTTCGTATACCATGATAATTAAGTAGTTTAATTAAATTTTGAATGTAACTCACTAAAACGTTATGACGTGCAGTTTCACTTGTCCGCATGCTAAGGGTTAATCATGCATGCACCTACCTAATGTGCAGTCAGTCACGTAGGCACATTCACGTTCTCTTCCAGAGCATGGGAGTCACCAGTTTCCTTTATTTCATGCTATTGCCAATTTTCACAGTGGGATTCGCTTATCGACTGAAGTATGAACTCAAAATTACCACATCAAACATTTATAATCCTGTGAAAAGCAAAGCTGAAATACCAGAGGAGGCATTTGGTAAAAATTCTGAAGATGAGACATGTGATAACAGATATTATTTTCAACATATGATACATTATATACTAGTTCTGATACTAACGACCCAATACTGGTACTGACTGCAAACCCTGCCTGTAAGGTCACTGTCATAACATCTTCTTGTTCTTAAGGAGTTTACTGCTAGTTGTTAAAACATGTCCTGGTTGTCCTTTAAACATTTCTACAGCTTGCTAGTCTGTTGCATAGTAGCTCTTATTAGATCTTTTGAGAGGATACATGTTGTTTAACTTAGCGGAGTTGCTAATTTGTAGCTATCATCATATCTCCTGGTAGGATACAAGGTGTTTAATTTAGCGGAGTTGCTAATTTGTAGCTATCATCATATCTCCTGGTAGGATACAAGGTGTTTAATTTAGCGGAGTTGCTAATTTGTAGCTATCATCATATCTCCTGGTAGGATACAAGGTGTTTAATTTAGCAGAGTTGCTACTTTATAGTTTTCATTACATATCTTGGTAGGATACAAGGTGTTTAATTTAGAAGAGTTCGTGTGTGTGTATAAGGTGTCATACAACTGGTAGGATACAAGGTGTTTAATTTAGCAGAGTTGCTACTTTATAGTTGTCATTACATATCTTGGTAGGATACAAGGTGTTTAATTTAGAAGAGCTCGTGTGTGTGGTAGCTGTCATACAACTGGTAGGATACAAGGTGTTTAATTTAGAAGAGCTCGTGTGTGTGGTAGCTGTCATACAACTGGTAGGATACAAGGCGTTTAAATTAGCAGAGCTCGTGTGTGGTAGCTGTCATACAACTGGTAGGATACAAGGTATGTAAGTCAGCAGAGTTTGTGTGTGGGGGTAGCTGTCATACAACTGGTAGGATACAAGGTGTTTAAATTAGAAGAGCTCATGTGTGTGGTAGCTGTCATACAACTGGTAGGATACAAGGTGTTTAATTTAGAAGAGCTCGTGTGTGTGGTAGCTGTCATACAACTCGTAGGATACAAGGTGTTTAATTTAGAAAAGCTCATGTGTGTGGTAGTTATCATACAACTGGTAGGATACAAGGTATGTAAGTCAGCAGAGTTTGTGTGTGGGGGTAGCTGTCATACAACTGGTACGATACAAGGCGTTTAAATTAGCAGAGGTCATGTGTGTGGTAGCTGTCATACAACTGGTAGGATACAAGGCGTTTAAGTTAGCAGAGTTTGTACGTGTGTTAGCTGTCATACATCTGGTAGGATACAGTGTATTTATGTTAGCAGAGTTTGTGTGTGTGTTTAGCTGTCATTAGACCTTTTGGTAGGATACAGTATATTTCTATATCAGATGTGAAAATAGTGCTGTATAATATCTGTTATAGTTTATCAATGTAAGATATCTGATGTTCATAAGCTAGTAAGAATGTTGCTAAATATTGTGTGCTTCTTGCCTGATAGAATAATTTTATATTAATGGTTTTTGTTATAGAAAGTACCAATTTCCTGCTGAAGCTAAGGAAGATTGAAATTGTTTTTTTTTTCATCTAAAAAGATAAAATGCTGCAATAATTATGTAAAGCATGTTTAACAAAGTATGGTGAATGGCCATAGTGTAAGACTGTTTAGAGGGTTAAAACATTATATAAAATACACATAAAGTCAGTTTTACCATGATACAGTATGTTAGCCTGTTAGTACCTTTTCACTTGTGAAAAATGGTAATTGTTTTTCATGTTTGTTCTCAATAATATAAATTAAGTTCTCTGTCTATACTTGTGCATGACATCTGATCCATCCTTTTGCATGAGACTTTCCCTGACTTCTGTTAATGTTTTTAAGTTTTCACTGGCATGTCTCGGGGATAGGTTTTAACTTCTATGCTTCCTCTGACTGTTCTACTAAACTTATGTCCCTGGGACTACTAGATCTTCTACTTCCAGATTCAGTGGGGTCAGACAGGGGAGACGATGCTACTCCACTCACTGCTTCCACCCCTCTTGGGCACCCTCCAACTGCAACGGCTCCTGGTGTCAGTAGTGACAGTGCCGCGGGGAATGGCACTACTTCCATGCCATCTCGACCAGAGAACTTCCGTCACTTGCTTTACACGACCCACTTTCCTCTACCACAGGATGAAGCATCATCACATGACTGTAATCAAAGACATATCCTCTTATACGGGGTGGGAAAGGCCCGTGATGAAGCCCGCCATGCACTGAAGAAAGTGTCAAAAGAAATAATGAAGCTGTTTAGCAAGAAGTCTTGCATGGACATGGCAGATGGAGGCAAGGTTAAGAAACATACCAAAGAAGGATTCAATTTTGAAGCTGTAACTGCTCGTTTTCAATCACTCTCATATTTTGACCAACACGTAGTGACACAGTCCTGTGCATCTTCAGTGGTTGAGATGTTAAATGGATTTGCTAATGGTAACTCAAACTATCTTCCTCTTGTAGAGTATGTGTCTTTCCTTTTCGACCTGATGGAAATTGCTCTTAGTATCCATGGGCTTATTGAATTCTGTCTACAGGTGAGTCTTTTGTTCTGAAATTTGAATAAATTGTGATTTTTAAAAAACACTAAAAATTGTTCAGCTCTACTTTGAACTGTATTTTTGAAGTTTTAGTTATTTGAATTGTAAAATAAAGTTAGAATGAATTTATTTTGAAGCAAGCCTTTTCCAATTCAAAGGTGTTAGTAATATATTTTTATAGCTTTAGTGTAAAAGTTATGAAAATATCACTACAATTTCTAAAGTTTGAGTAATATCAACTGTAGAGCATGAGCAAGTTTGTGATCTCCAATTCTTTTTACCAACTTTATTTCACCATATATTGTGGTTTGAAAATGTGATGAAATTGTAATATGTAATTTAAATTATTGTGTCTATAATCATAGAATATTAACTTATAAATGCCATATCTTCTTATATCAAAATAGCTAAGGAAAGTACCCTTAAAAATATTCATATTGTATTGAAGTATTTAAATGTAAAGCACTTTTTTAATTTGGATTTACTAATACAATACAAAAAACTTACAGAAGTAAGAGTTGGTATGTAGATTACTTATTGATCTCTAATTTGTCTACTAATCCTTACAGTCATTCATATATATTTATTCCATTAAATCCAATCCCAATAAAAATAAGAGAGGAATAAATTGGATATGAAAATATATTGACTAGTTTATTATGTGTTTTCAGTTATTGAAAGAGCTAGCTGATGTGGAAACCCAACTTGTTCAAAAGGGTTCTTTATTAGCAGGAACGTATGCTACATCCATGAGTCTGTACATTGTTGGAATTTTATATCGTTATCATTGTTGGTTACTTGTATCACAGGAACAGACCATTTCTGCTTTTGAAGGGTAATACAAGTTTTTTTTTTATTATTAATTATGTCTTGGAATTTAATTTTTATGAAGTATAAATACATTTTTATACAGTACTGTAAAAGAATTAAAATACTACGTGCGTACAATAGACAAGCATTTATCAAATTAAATGGTTTTTATTTTAAGTTTTTGCATAAAGTGTGCTATAAAGTAATTGCAGTAAAAGTAATTCTTAATTCTTTGAAGTCACAAAAAAATTCAACTTTTTAGCAATGGCATTGTGTAGCTAATGTGTTATTTGCTTTAGGTTTTGTTACAGATGTTTCTTTTAAATGTTTTTTAATTTGAATACTTAAAGATAATTATCTAGTTAGTTCTGTGACAGGGAGTTTGGACAGTAAAAAAGTGTAGTATTGGCTTACAGTACTGAAGAGGATCCCACCATAAAAATTCTGAAATGCAAAAGTCTAGCACGTACACACAAAAATTTATACCTCTAAACCTCAAACAAAAATATATATACACAAATATGCATACCCTTTTAACCTCAAACCATCAGTCACACACACACACATATGGTAACAAATGCATCTAAATGAATGCAACAATATTATTATATTGCTTTTGTCTACAGTAAGAGCCCAATAATGTTTGAATACTGCTTCTAGAAAGATTATGTAACATAAAAGTTACAAAACACTTTTAACTGTTTTAAATATGTATGTATGTGTTAAACATAATTTTAGTTCATGACAACATTGATGTAAGTCATAATTTTTTTATGAGCTTGTGCCTGAATATTCAACATGCTGCACTGTAAAATCCTAATGGTAACTTATTAGAAACCATAAAATGCATAAATAAAGATGCAGCGAGAGATTATATGTGGATGTGGTATATGCCATTATTAACAAAGCTGAGCTGCCAATGCATTGTAGTGGTTGTGTTCACTATTAAATGAATGCAAAATCAGAAAAAGTTATATTCTGCTTTTATGTGTGTTTTTTGCAAAAGGGGGTCGCATTTAGATTTTTTGAGCAATCTTCTTCTTGGGTAAGAAGTTTAATTCAAAGATTCAACACTCCTGTGATGTTAATTTATTGTTATTTCAAAGATAAAGTTCACAACCCCGTGCATGAGTGATAAGGTTTTATCCTACTTATGTTATTATTTGGTGTCTGTTACAATGTTTGTACCTCAAGATGCCACACTTAATCAAAACAACATTTTTAATTAAAAAAAAAAGTTTTACACACTTTAAGCTGTTTTATTCTACATTATAATGGTACTAACTTATAGTAGCATTATATTAGTGACCAATTGTTTTATATTTTCAATATTAGCTAATCATTTTCAGTTGAATTTCTTTTTATAGATTATGCAGAATCATAAAGCAACTAAATAGCCCAACAGACTGTACATCAGCAGAACGATGTATATTGTGCTATCTCTATGACATGTATACCTCTTGTAGCAGCTATTTAAAGGTAAAACTTTTTTATTGGAGTAATTTATATCAAAGCTTTTAGGCTGTCACTATATAGATAAAACTATGTTATTTTTTGAGGCTGTGGAATAAAATTGATGTACATATAACATTCTAGATTTTCCTGGATTCTCTAAAAAAAAAGCTAGTAAGTAAATTTTATTTGTTATTTAAAGCTTCTAATCTTATTGTAAAAGCACAACAACAAAGTAGAAATTTCTTAAGTTAACAAAGGAATTAAAATAAGATACCTTATGTCTGTTATGACTAAAAGCTTTTCTTCTTGTTTATTTTAAATAATTTAAACTACTTCTGAGAATAAATACTTCAGAAGGTTTACAGAAAGCAAAGTTTTTTGTTTTTGTCAAAACCATAAAGAATAACTGTAAATCACAGTAGAAACATCACTTTAATTTTATTTTTAAATGTTACTACTAAACATACCACAAAAATGCTGTTTAGACTTGAAATTATTTTACAGTATTATGTAATGCACTCAAAGAATTTGCACTTGTCACCTTTTTTAACTTCAAGTAATTTCATGTTCTCTTAACTTTTGAAAATGTTTTTATTTTAAGTTAAAGTCAAGTGATTAAAATTTTTAAGTTCTAGGAGAAAAACAAACACTTATATAAAAAAAAAGGTGGGGTAATCATACTTTATAAGAATGATTTTCATATGTTAATATAATGGTGTGTTGCTACAGGTGAAGCTGTGTTACCACAGGCAGTATGGTTAGCATCTATATAGCTGATCATTCAACATGGCAACCCTCTCACCACCACACACATAGGTAGAGCAAATGTCAACAAGCTGTACATGGACCAATTAACAATGTACAAGACAATTCAAACATACCTGTGTAATCAAAAGAACAATGTATGTCAGTCAGTATGTGTGTGTATGTGCTAGCTCACATAGACAACCAATATTCTTATTGACTAATCATACAGGGATACTTTCACATTTATACGAGTGCAAGAGTGAACAACATTTAACATGCATTGTTCTGTACGAGTGCAAAACTTTGAGATTTATAAAATTAACTTTCAAGACAGTTATTTCAATAACATAAATACACGAGGAAACACATTAAGTTAATTCTTTACATTTCTTTGTCTTATAAATAACATTAATACCATTATATCTCAATACAAATTCCAACAGCTGCCTAAAAATTTACAATTAAGCCTAACGTTTAAATATGCTTCTTACAGGAACCACGAGTTTACATGCTGTATTATCTATGACAATCCGCCTTAATAGTCACTGCCACAATTTCATTCATTTTCAATTGCATGAAAGAAAATAAATTACAGGTTTCAGGTGATATGCAAATATAATTTAGATGCATATATACACACACAAGAAATATAAAAAAAAAAGACTACAGTTGGTTTTTACATTTCTTGATGCCATAAATTAAAAAAATTATTGTATTATAACTATTATATGTTTCCAACTATCTTGATACAGGTGCCAAAAAATAGACATTTAGGCCTAAAGTTTAGATATGCTTCGTACGTGAAGAACAAGTTTATCTGCTAGGGGAATAAAATATTACACCATTTTCATTATTGGTGGAAGTAGACCTGACACTTTGTTGATACTTTAAGGGAGAGTAAAAAAGAGTTGATACCATTATGAAAGGAATAAGAAAAATAAGTGAAATAGCAACTTATGAAGACAGTTGATTTTTACATTTCCTGATAACATAATTTTAAAATTCTCTATCTTATAACATTGCTTTAACAAATGTTTGATCAAGAAAAAAACCTCAACATCTTGGTCAAAGGTGGCAATTATCCACAAAGACAAGATGTTTATACAAAAAATGTTGTCTAGAGAGATATTTCGTTTATAGGCATTCCATGTTTTTACACTTTACTTTAAATCTAAATACAACTCCATATTCTGCTTAGTAGGTTTTTGTTTCATTCATGTCCAACTACATAATACAACAATAGCATTATTTAAAGGATATAACTACTTAAAACATATACCCTTCTCATGTATATAGTATTCCACTTAATTATGCTGCATGTGTGGCTCGTGTATATGTCAGTACACTCTTTGTATGCAGGGGGTGGAGGATTTTATCCCATCTATATTCTTTTTTTTATTCCCGTAGACAGTGTTTTGATAGTCAAATAATTAGTACATACATTACACAAAGCATGAGTTTATCCTCTAGTTTTGCCCTTATAAAGAAACATAAGCCACAAGTGCACCAGCTATTTCTCAAATATGTTAGGGGAAGAAATATAAACTATTGAAAACTATTTTGAAAAAGCTTTGCACTTGATATTTGGAAGTTTATTGCAACATTCCATAAACCTGGTTGTACTTGAATGTCTGTGATGACAAACGAGCAACTTGCTACAGATCAAGAGGTGACAATGACATTCGAATATGGTAAAGGAAATGTAAAGAACGTTTTTTCATTACTTTATGTTTGCCACAGGTTTCTCTTAAGTGGGCCATTTAAAGACCATGTAGAACACAGAGAGCAAGAAAGTTTATTGACACAAATCATGCAAGATGATCTTCCTACACTGTATGGCCAGAATACCATGAAAGTACGGTTACATCAAGATAAGGTGTTAAGTCATAGGTCAAGGCCATGGTAACATGCCTACACACCAAGTAGAATGAAACTGATGATTGCACTATCCTCCTCTTTTCCAACATATCTGTAAAGTCGCATCATTCTGCATCCATGGGCTTTTTGTGCATTTGGCTTACTTAAACATTCTTGCACAATGGAGATTTTTTGGAAAGACTGTCATAATATGATCTTGCTGTCCCTTGTAGGAGTTTTTACAAAGAAAAATGTAGTGCATAATCCTGGCCACCAGATTTAGCATGACTGACAATAGAGGAATTAATTCCAAGGGCAGCAAAATACCGTAATCAATGTTTTTAAAGTGCAATTAATTCTCAATATGATATCATTTATTTGTTTTTAGTTAGTTTTTGTTAATTTGTTATTACAAAGTATTTAAAAAAACAAAATTCATTGATAATATTGGTTTTTAATTGGAAGCACTCTGCAACCTACATCATATGGTAGATAGTGTGGAAAATGAAACCACAAATATTTCTGATAGAAATAGTTGGATTGCAGATTTTGTGCAATGCTTTTAAATTGGAGATGAAAAAATGTAACTTTCTTTTTTCTATAGTCTAAAGTACCAGACCTGTTCAGCAACATGTATCCCAAAGTTAAACAGTCTCTGTATAGCTCTCATAAACCATCAGCTCTCAATCTTTTGTGGAACACTACTTATATGATAGAGTATATTAACAATCCAAGGTATGTGGAAGCACGCAGTATGTTTTAAATAATGTTTTTTCATCAAAATATGCCTATAAAGAACCATTTTTTAAAAAAATTGATCCTAAAATAAACTAAAAGCTGTTAAGTTTCATCAAAAGTGTATTTACTTAAATATTAGTTGAGATGTTGAAAAATTCTATCCATTTGAAAAGAGGGTTAAAACAATTTTAAAACTTTGTTTTTTACTTAGGACCCAGTTAATATTATTCTTACTTTTTTATGAGTATTCTAATTAATTTTGATTTATTTTGAGAATATAGCAGTAAACTTAGATTAATTTTTTTGTAGATTGTGCACTTTTAGTTTGAATTTGTTAATACTATATTATGCTCATGTCTGTTTGCCCTGTTAATATATTGTTGTGGAGATGTTTGTTAACTTTTAAAACATGAATTTCTGGAATGGTGCCAAACTGGAGCAACAGTGTCAGGCTTGGTTACCATTAAGTAAAATACTTAACTCTGCTGTTATAAAAAATTATGTAATATTAAAATATCTTTTATTAAATTAAAAAGATAACTTTTTTTTTCTCAGTGACTGTAGTTTAAAATATTAATATTCTTCCTAATTTCTTATAAATGTTCAAATGAATTTTGGGTTATATTTAGAATACAACAGTTATGTTGGATTGACTTGCTTAGTTTGTGTAGTTATATATCTAGCTGTAAAGCTAGACTGAGCTTGTTTGTTTGCCTTGTTGTTATGGTGTCAAACAGCAGTTAGCATACTTGATCTCCTATATTGAAAGCACAGTCTCCTTATTTACATAGAAACTTGGTGAAAAAATACTTTATATAATTATAATTGTTATGTAAAAATAAATAACTTAATATCTGTGGGGGTTTTGAGTCCATTTTACTTCACCATATAGTAATCTAAATCAATTTAGGTTTGTGAATAAAGTTATAACATTCCGTTGAATTGTTGAGCTTTGAATAGGCGAAACAGCAGTCCACAGCAGAGGCTATGGCCAATCAATGAATGTCTTAGGCCTCTATTCATAGATTCTCTTTTCAATTTCACCTCTGGTGGAAAAAAAAAGAAATCTTTTAACACCTATATATACAAATTGATTAATAATTAATGAAGTAACATATAAACAAAAAATAGCAGCAGGTTGCTGCTGCTGCTGCTGCCCAGTTACCTCCTTGCGATTGGTGGTTTGAAATTATTAATGGTGCCACACTGCATGGACTGCTTACTGAAAGATATGCTGGGACATGACTCCATAATAGAAGGAAGGAGAGCCTGTGCTTTGATTGGTGCTAAAAACTCCTTTAGTGTGCAACCATAATTTATGAAATGATGGCAGAGTTCAGATAATCAAATGTATTTTTACATATTTCATAGTTTGAATGCTTTTAGCTAGAAAGATGTAGCAACACATGATTTATAATTTGTTAAATGTTTAATGTCACTGGAAATAAGCTTTATACCCAATATTAGAAAATGGAGCTTTGACATCTATTTATCATTGTTTTTTTTTAATACATTGTTTTCTGATGTTATTAAAGATTAAAAATATTGTTAAGTGATACCAGGCATAAGAACATGGTAAATAAGTAGCTACAGTTTTTTTAATCTTCAAAGCAAGTACTTGTGTCTGGCATTTTTATTTCTGAGATTTTGCTAGGCACTACATTTTTTTTTTGTTTACTAAAACAGTAATTACAAGTAAAACTGTACTATATTAGTGAAAGGCTTTTTCTTATTTTGAGTCTCATTTTTAAAACAAGGGTTACATGAGTATTTGCAAAACATACTCTTATTTTAAAGAAAGTAAAACTGTGTACTGACTCCCCTTGAAACAGCATTTTTAGGAATGGCTGAGAATACCCCGAAATCATGTTATGTCTCTGATATTAAGCATGCAACACTGGTATAAGGCTGCCCTCACTGCTTTTACTGATTATATTCCATTGAAATACCATGAACAATAAAGATGTTAAGCCACCTTTATCAAATATTAATTCTTAAGTATAGGCTTAATGACAAATCAATTCTAGTTCATATGATATATCATTAGACACCTGAGTTTAAAAAAATAACTTATTTTATTACAATGATTTTGTCCTGTCATAGCTAAAATATTAAAAATTGCAAATATCCTGTTTTATAGAATGCTAAATACAAAAAATAAGATCTTTGAGTTATGAGTAATGACAGTAATTTATCACATATTTAGTGTCTAGAGTCACTTGATGAGATATGATGCATCTCCCAAGAACTTCTCATACATGTAGGCTACTCTGTTTGGTAAATCTGTTCTTTTTTCAAGGAATTCGTCAACCACTTTAGTGGTGAAGGCTGGTATTATTATCCATTAAGCTGAAGTAGGCCAATTTCACCAGCACATAGCAGTACAGAGGGCTGTTGGATGTATCTCTGTAAAGTTTAGCAGTAGTGGTACTGTTTTGTTGCACAAAGTATATATATGTACTGATACTTTTTCTAATCCACATCACACTTCCACCAGTACTATAAACATACTATATGCAGGTAGGAGTTGGTTCTAGATTTTCTCAAAATTACCATACGTCTGTTATCTGGTTGCAGAGTGAAGCTAAAGTAACACATTTGTAAAATGAAAAGTCTCCATATGTTTTGATATCAAAGCAGGTGAACTTTGCTACAAATGGAATGCCTCACCGCGCGTGTGTCTCGTACATCATGACTTTTTGTAGTCTGTTTCTAACTATATATGTACTAACACATCATCTTTTTGTAGCTTCAAATACCTGATTCACTCTTGAAGTGGGTACCCTATGATTGTGGTGAGGTAGAATCACCAGACAGTGATCACCTGTTTTTGTTTGTTCAGTTTTCAAACAACTGTATTATTAGTTCCACATTCTGCTGATGATACTTTGAAACACTTGTAGCTGGTTTGCAACAGTCTGCTATAATTGGTAGTTCCTATTCATCCAGTGTTCTCTACTTGAAAAAAATCCTGATTCATGAACAGTTGGAGCATTTTAAACTCTGATTTCTTTCAGAATGACAAATGTGAAAAGGCTGTGTCAGACACTTATATATTGCCTAGGCTAATTGACGATTTATCTTCCATTTTAGAGAGCATGACTGATCATCGGACACCTGATTTGCATAATGTGTTGTTTAATAGCAAATTATGTAGCTCTGTTACTAGTTTTACTTTTAATCTTTATTCATTATATTTGTTTTTTAAGCGAAAACCATTCTCAGGTGGTAAAGCTTAAAGTTTCATGTCACTATCTATATTATTAGAATGAAAGTGGATCCTCTTCAAGTAAAGCAGCTGAACGAGAATCCACCTAACCGGTATAGTTTTGTCTGTAATGCTGTCCATGCTATCTCTATAGCCAGAGATGCTGATAGGTATGATGTTAAGCCAAGTTTCTTTAGTTTTTATTTATCTAACCATTTCAGGAGGGCTAAATTTGAGATTGGGCTACCTGTTATATATTCCTTACCAATTTTGTTGAAGTAACTTTTTTGAAAGATAAAGTGTATACAGCACTTTACTTATCTATTAAACCACTTACATTGTGTATGATAAAAAAGGGTAAATCTAGTTTTTCTTTTGTGCAAAATTACTTTCACAAGTGATATTACTTGGATTTTAGGACATCTGTTACATTCTTTAATTTTTAAACTAACTGAAATTCTAGGTTTAAAAGCAGCATAGTGTTCCATTAAAATTATATTTTGTTAGGTTGTGTAGCTGAGAAGCCTGACAAGCTGTTATATTTCTAATTTTTAACTTTTTTATAACAGAAATATACATTTTTTATAAGTGCAAAACAGTAACATGTATGCATTCATAATGATTATTTTTTTTTTACTTTCATTCAATGATTCTGGTATTAGTTTTTAATGGATTATTGATGGTCATTTTCAAAACATCATAAAAGTGTATTAAGTAAGATCAGGTGATGGATTTTAGTCCTTGATGATACTAATATTTTTAAAACATTACAATTCCTATAATTTTCAGTAGTATAAATTTTTCACAAAATTTAATTAGGCTTTTTTTTATACTGGTATCAGTGGAATGAAATACATTGTAATTTTTGTATCCAGGATATCCTGTTTCAAGTTATTCTAGACTTAAAATGTTGTAAAGCCAAAAATAAATGGCCACCTGTGAAGTTTGTTATTAGTTATGATACTATTTCATTATAGTTCTTGTAAAGTACAAAATGTTGATAAGTTAATAGTCTTACCTGGATCAGAGAACACCTTTCAGGTGTTGTGTACACACATGCATATCAATTTTAAAAATTTTAAGTAAAAATAACAATTGAAACTAAATTAAAAAGATATTTCATAACTGATATTTTGTCATTATGTAATATTTGTTAAGTGTCATTTACAAAGAAAAATGTAAAAATGTTCCCACTTTCATTTCCACTCCATGCCTTTAAATAATGCATTTATCAATTGTTTAAAAAATTTTCTCGACATCCCAAAGTACGGGTTTATATCTTTGAGAAACTATCATACCTTGAAAACATAATGATTCGTATCCTGTTTTTCATGATTTCCCTGCTTTGTTAGTAATTTTATCAGTACAATACAACCCTTCATTTTTATCCTTTTATGATATTACAAATTGTGGTGATACACAATTCAACACTTTATTGCAGATGCCATATTAGTCATTCTAATTATTATACAATTGTTTATAAAAAAATTAATCCTTTAGGCACTTACTTCTTTTTGATCATATCATGCTCAAAATCATTGGATAATCCAGGTTCAGAGCCAGAATCATTGTCAGCTTGCATAAGTTCAATTGTCTCTCCAAGTGTGAAAACACTGGAGTGATTTGATGCCATTTTTGGGTCTGTTTTATCATAAAAATTAAACAATTTTCAACTGTAAATAATACCAATTTTGGATATGAATTGGCAGCCGAAATTGTTCTCTGTGCAGATTAGGCTTTGTCTATTAATTTTATGTGCTTGATATGCATTTATAGTGGAAAATTTGAACCACTTTATGTGGTTACTATACAGTGATTGGTGCATTTAAAAGGTTAAGTTATAAAAATATTTCATTCAGCTAAAGCTTCTAATAAAAAATATATATGTCTAATTCTTTTCAATATTGCACTTATATTCACGTAATGAAGAAACTAATTAAAAAGTATGAATGTAAAATATGTATATAAACACCGTAATTGAAATAATGAAAATATTTTTCTTGTTTTGTAAAGTTATTGCTTATGTAACATCATTTAATTCATTAAATATTTATGTAACATAAAAAAATGCATAAAGATATCAGGTATTTAAAAAGATATGTTTTTACATTATTCCAATGTTTTTGGTTCTCTTGGAGAATATTGTGAACGAAAGGTATAAAATCGATGCTACCATTGTATTTCTAAAAGTTTTACCAATGTAACGACATAGGTATTGTAGGTATAGACTCAAGCTGACAGTCGCATGGCTATGTCCTTTACTGATATAACCTCACTAGTAAGCATGGAGTCAAGCTAGCAGTTATTTCTGTCTTATTTACATAAGAACTTTAATGATAATAGTTATGAAGTCAGATTATTTTATTACATTTATTATCATAATTCTTTATATTTATTTATTGTTTGTTCTATCTTAAATTGTAATCATATATTGTTCAAACAGATGTGCATATTGCAGTCTTTATCTGTAACTTATTATCTTGTATATACTTGCTATTATTAGCCCAGTTTTTAATATAGATATTGAATGCATGATTATTAGTATATCATGGTATTTTTAGCTTTTTTTTCTGTACTAGTTATTTCACCTATGTGACAGGTATTTTGATTGGTTACATTATCTTGGAAGTGATTAGTTCTTTTAAACTCCTACAGGTTGAACGAGGTTTCTATTTTATGTGCTGAATTGACAGCCAGCTGTAGTTCCCTGAGTGCTGAGTGGCTTGGTGTACTGAAGGCGTTGTGTTGTTCTTCCAATCATGGATGTGGATTTATTGATGTTCTGACACAAGTTGATGTAAGATTTTTTTTTTGTTAATTTTAATGTTCAGTTTTTGCTTTAAGACTTTTAAAAAATATTCAACATTTTCTTATTAATTGTTTGTGGAACAATGTAATAGGGGAAAAACATATATATAATTTTATGTTTTGCATTTCTAACTCTAGGTTGGAGATCTGTCTATTCATGATAACTTGGCAGTTTTTACTTCAATTCTGGTGGCTCGACGATGTTTTTCTCTTCAGGATTTTGTTGTCCATGTTGCTCTTCCTTCCTTATTGTCTGCATCTCCAGGTAGTTAAATAGTTTGTAGTACTCTTGTACATTTTAGTCTGTTTTGTGTGATAAGCCTGGATGGTAAATGTTTTTGATGTTATTCCAGCTATTATTCAAGAAAATAGATATACTCAAATGTCTGTATTTCATCTAGAAATAATATACTAATGTATTTACAAGAAGACCACACTATGTTTAATAATGCATCTCTTTTTCTGAAATGCAAACACTGATTTTTTTTTTTTACAAATTTCTTAATAAGAGAAGAGAATTTGGATCTACTTCAGATGGGCTAAAGGTAACTAATACTGATAAATCTACAAGAAAATAAAACATATTATGGTTTTTTTTTACTTTAGCTGGAAATGGTGACCAGGATGCTGAATCTGGAGCACGTCTTGCTTGTCATCTTCTTCTTCGTTTGTTTCGGACAGTGGACTTGCCTCAACCAGGATCTGGTGGTGTTGGCTGGATGTACCACTCAGGCACCTCACCAGGCCCAACTCTATCAGGAGCACCTGCCCCTCGCCCACTGTTTCTTATTAAACTTCCATGTGACCGCCATCTTCTTTGTGCAGCCAGGAACAGCATGCAAGCAGAACCTGTACTGGCTGTATTGAAGGCTATTCTTGTGTTAGGTTTGTGAATTTGTGATCAATACCATGGTGAAGTTGTAGTTTTATTATGCTATAAGTTTACATTATTATTATATAGTAATTAGATAAATTATAGACTACATTGAGAAAATAGAGCTTTCTGGAATATCAGAGATTAGATATTAAGGTTAATTCTTTATAATCCATTGTGAAGTGCATTTGAGACAAGAACCAGATTTTTGTTATATTTATGAGAATAATGGTCTTGCTGTGGTAATACATTGTGCAAAGAAATACTTTTTTTGATTGAAAGAGTTTCATTAACTTTTTTTAGTTGCATTTTTCATGTGTTCCAATGCTACATAAGTATTTACAACAGTTACAAAATATAGAAAATATAATATATCAAAAGTCAAGAAGAGAAAACTTTTCAGCTGCTTAAATACCTTTTTTTTTGTTTGAGCAAGTGTGATTGAACTGTAAATTAAGGTTATATGTAATATTTTTCTAAGGTGGTTAGGACGCTCGACTCGCAATCTGCGGGTCGCGGGTTCGCATCCTCGTCCCACCAAACATGCTCGCCCTTTCAGCCGTGGGGGGCGTTATAATGTGACGGTCAATCCCACTATTCGTTGCTAAAAGAGTAGCCCAAGAGTTGGCGGTGGGTGGTGTTGACTAGCTGCCTTCCCTCTAGTCTTACACTGCTAAATTAGGGACGGCTAGCGCAGATAGCCCTCGTGTAGCTTTGCGCGAAATTCAATACAAACAAACAAACAATATTTTTCTTAAAGAATAATTAGTAATTAACTGGTGAATTTGATTATACTAAAAATGTTTCATGTTTTATGTGATAATATACTTAAGTATTGTAGTATCTCTGAAGGTGATGCTACTGGTCACAGTGCTGAGGCCAGATCGAAGAATGATCATGGACAGAGCAAGAGAGAACTGTCTATTACAGACATTTTGGGAAACATGGATGACTCAGACTTTGATCCATTGCCGTAAGTGTTTGCTCATCCAGGAGATATTCCTGTTGAATTATTGTGTGGTATAAGAAATTTGTATCTGTAAACCATGTGGTATAACAACAGATAATATCTTAACCTGTTTGTAACTGTATGTTATGTTGCAGTTTCTTTAGAAAGTCTCACAAGCAATTAGACTGTAATATTTCTGATGTTTCAAATTGTTAATCAATTTTAAGATTATGCTCAAAAAATACACCCAAGTATTAATTTGTATATTTTTTTATGTATTTCTCTTCAAACTTGGCTTCTTCGGCCACCCTTTATAAACAAATACTGCTGAGGGATACACATGAAAGAAAAGCTTGACTTTAATGGCTGTTGACTTTATTGTATGCTGCCCTTCAACTCAACTGGTTTATCTTTATAATAGATTCCTGTCACAAAGACACAGGGCTTTTATAATTAAATTTGCAATTTTTTTTCTTTTCTTTTATATATAGCTTTATATGATTTTATTTAACTATATAAACTATATTTAAAATTTTTTTAATAATAACTAGTAATAGTAATAGAAAATAATGAGACATTTGTGAAGATATAAATAACATATAAGCTGTTAAGAAAAAACAAACAAACCTGAAACCATTGCCACAGCTTTATTTTCTACTTCCTAAACATTTGGTTTTACAGTCAGTATTCCATTTGCTTTTCAAGAATATTTTACCACTTATCTACCATTTCTGAACTGATTGATATGGACATCATATTCGTTGGCCTATAGATGAATAATTTTGAATTTTCTGATTATTTTTGTTAATTATAATATTATAACTTGAATTTTCAGAAATCTTTATCTGTGCTGTACCCTTTCCAATGTTTTTTGTGTATAGCTGGCCTTTTTTTGTTGGTATTGTATTAAATGCTGAGTGTTTTTTTTCTTTGTTGTAGTCTATAGTAGATAGTTTAGGTTATCTTCACTGAGAATATTTGACTTTTATGTCCCATTAGACTCAATTACTGTATATTTTAGCTCTTGAATTTTATGTACATATATATACTGTATATATTTTTTTAACACATACATATTCTATATATTTAATTTTTGTGACATCCAGTAGTGTAATGAATTGGTAAAATTTATGGAAATTCGTATTTGAAATTTAGAAAACATGCGTATAATAGCAGACTTCTAGATTTAATTGTTGTTTAAAAGTTAATTCATATATTTTTAGACCAACTGTGAGTAGGCTGCAGGGCGTGAACTTTGGCTCTAGTGGAGGAGGGATGGAAAGTGCAGGTTTAAATGAATTTGCTCGTCACACTCTCCAGCAGATATGTTCTCAGGACTGGGTACATGAGCGGTGTTTGAGGGATCCAGAGAAATTATGTACACAAGATCATCTGTTGGACCCAATTGTCTCCAATCAACAGGTATGTGGGGAATCAAACCTATTGTCACTCAACAGGTATGTGAAATATTATTGAATGTTTTGTCTCCAGCCGATAGGTATACTTAGAATAATAAGAATAAATATGAAGCCTAATAATCTATCATTGCATTCACCACTTGTCATGGAATTATACTGGTTTCTGTGAATTTTTTTGAATTTTGAACAACTTGTCTGCCAAATAATTAAGAAGAATAAATTAGTAGCATCAGTGCTACTTATTCTTCAAATACTATATAAACAAGTATAGAAAAAAACTTTTCAAAAAAGGAAGTAAATGTAGGAATGGGTAATATCAGTCTTTGAAAAACAGTTCAATATTCACTCAGACAAGAGTAAACCAAGATTTGGTAGCAGTTTCTGTTAATTAACTACCTTTCTTGTAGTTATCAGTTTAAAATTATGGGCAGCTATGAGCATATAGTCCCCTGTAGCTTTGTGCAATAATTCTAAAACAAACAACATGGATTAAATTCATTGTTTTATTTACAAGCCAACAGGTATTCCAATTTTAAATTGAAACTGTCTGTTCATTCTTAAGCTGGTATTGACTGTTATGCAGTTTAGTAAATAGACATTATTCAAAGAACAACAAAACAATGAAAACAGATGTAAACTATTACGAGTCCTTGGCTGTTCATGATAAACAACTATAATTTTCTGTTAAAATCTGTAGTTATGCTCGAAAGAAAAAAGGTTGTTTTATATTTTTTATGTTGGTTACAAGGTCGGTCCTATTTACTGTGTCCATATAGCATTAGGGTATATAAAATATATAGTTTTACTAAAAAACATTTGATATTTATCTATGAAAACTATAAGATCAAAGAAAGTATTTTCAATTTTAACATGACAATCACCTTGCACTCAGTCTGAATCAGTAAATTCACAGACAAATGTTTAGTAAAAATACTTAATTAAAAATTATGATTTTTTGTGTACAACATATTTGTAATGTTTACAAAAAGCTTACCAAATTTTGTGATGATACACTAAGTGAACTTGGAATCATAGTATTTATTAGTGAACATTAATTCTTCAATACAGACTCGGTCGAATGGACCGACCCTGTGCATTTAGGGTTAAAAGTATCAACTCAAATTCGTGGCAGGAATTTAGGTTTAAAAATCTTTCAGGTCTCAGAATTAATTTCTGTGGCCTGAAAGACAACCCGGGGTGGTCAGAAACATTTGTTTCTTTTCACCCAAGTTAAAAGTAATGTTTCATTGTATTTATTTCTGTATATTGAATAATTTGTAAACTAACTTAAGAACCTTGTGTGACCAATCCCAACAAGCTGATCTTGTATTCTAGGCCCAGCTTCTGTTACACTTGATCTGTCATCCAAAGCGTGCTGAGACTAGATATAAACCTGAAGAAATGGAGGATCAGCGACAGGCTATATTTAAGATCTTACAGGTAAGATTAAACTGAGTTCTCTAGAAAGAAAGAAAGAACCAGTGGTGGATTTTATTAAGATCTTACAGTTTTCTGGAAGTGGACTTTAGAATTGACTTGTAGTATTTAATTATGACTGATGGTCCAGTTTTTCTACAGAACTTGATCATTTCTATTTCTAATATGCTTTTACAAATTTAAGATTCCAGTAAATTTTCATTAACTTTCAAATAATGTTTAGTGTTAAAATCATAAATAATATTCAACGTTAAACTGGTACACAATCAAAAACATTTTATTTAGTCCTATCTATGGCCTAAATAAAATGTTTTTAATTGTGTACCAGTTTAACGTTGAATATTATTTATGATTTTAACTTTATACACAAGTTCCAAAATACTATAATTAATGTTTAGTGTATTTGGATGAAATGATTTTATGTTATGTACACTTGTTCTATGGATTTAGTATGATGCTTGTTTTACACAAGCTGAATCAATAACCATTTGGCATGCTTTTATATTTTTACTGTTGATTTTCACATGTCTCTAAATATGTTTCATTTGTAGTTATATTATGTTTTACAAAAACTGGAAATGTAGGTAGAAAGTATTGTACTGTCATATTAATGGTACATTTTACAGTATTCTAAGTGATATTACTGACTTACCAGACGAAAAACATGCTGATGTTAATCTAAAGTTGGTCAGTAGGCATTAATAATTGTTTGTATTTCTATCGAATATTTAGTTACAAAACAAAGACTAATGTATAATATCAAAATGAATTTGATGTATAAATATTTACTTTTTTCAGAACTTGTATATGTGTACATAGCAAATGTTTCTATTGTATGTTTGTTCCACATCATCATTAGTGAACATTAAGAATATTGTTACTGTTTATTTAAGAACCTAGATCAGTGGACTTTGAGAGTCTCATGCTTGGAGCTCCAGTTAATGCATAAACAGTGCTCTCCTTCTGAAGCCAGTGCATGGTTGGATAATGTTGCACGGGCAACTATTGATGTGTTTCAGCTGACTAGCGAAGAAGGGAATCAATCCAATAGTAAACCGTCAGTAAGCACCGGTGGAGAGAGTAAAGGCTCGTCAAGGTTAGCACTATAAAAATCCTCGCTGTTGTTGATTTACTATATTAATCTTTGAGAAATAATAATGAATGGTGTAGTTAATGGTGATTTTTGTATGACTACGTGTTACAACAAAGTAGTCATCAGCTAATTGATTATAATAGTATGTGTTATGTAGGATGTTATGAAATTACATTGGCTCGTCTCTGATAATTTAATATTTTGTGAATCATGTTAAAGTTTTATGATTAGATTTTTGCCCATTTTTTTTGCTTAGCATAGGTAATAATAATAATGTACATATATCTTTTTATGTAGAGTGTTTTTTTAATGGATATTTAGAACAGAGGGAGACAAATCAAATCGTATCTGGCTGGTTGCACCATTGATTGCTAAGTTAGAAGCTGAAGTGCAAGGCAGGGTACTTCGTGCAACAGGCCAAGTACTGGAGAGTGGTAGCTGGTCATCATCTTCGAAAAACAAAGACAAAGACAAACAGGTGCAGAAAAGGTAATGTACAGGCAAATATTATATTACGAAAAAATTAATTTTATGAAAAGGCCTAGCATTTGTTAATAGATAAAAGTTGTTAAATTTTACATTATGCAAGTTGATACAAAAATATTTAAAAGTTTATAAAATTCAAGAGATTTTACGCAACTTCCTTCTGATTTGTGGAATTAGAAATATTTGATTGGTTATGCCAATAGACTCCATATTTTCTGTGATTGAATATTCATTACCTATTTATGCTTGTGTGAAGAATTTACAAATTTTTTAATGTTTGTTTAACTTATATAACTGGAAAATTGTGACATCATTTAATGACAAAACTTTCAAAATTTGTCTTGTTTTAAAAGAGCCTGAAAGCTAATTTTACATTAAGCTCGTTTTGCGTGGTAGTTTTTGTAATTTTTCAGCTGTAGGTCTAGCTTGCTGCTTTTTTATGAAGTAATTTGTGACTACCGTAGTATTTTCACAGTAATGTATTCAATATAGTATTAACCGTAATACTTTATGGCTCATGTATTCCTTTTCTACTTCTGTTCTTTTTGTTTTGTAAAACAACTTGTTTTTTTTTAGGATATTTATAAATATTATCTATTGTTTAAGTTTTTTGTTTGTTTCTTGTTTTTTTTCCAACAATTACTATTGCTTTGCTATAAAAATGAAATGCTTGTAAACAGACCAGTTTTGTCTCTCCAGTGCATCACTTCTAAGCCACCAGCCTTTTTTGTCTTTGGTCTTAATGTGTCTGAAAGGTCAAGATGAGCAACGAGAAGGTCTTCTCAATTCTCTGTTTTCACAGCTTTCTCAATGTCTTCACCTAGCAAAAGAGGTGTGTGGATTGTGTTTTTGACAATATATTTATTTGTACATCCATTCTTACTTGTATATAAAGTTAAAAAACTTAATTAATGATCTGGTTTATGCCATCAGTTATTCCTTTTTTTAAAGTAAAATAATATTATAAATTTTTTTATAACATTTGCCGACATCAATAATTTATCATAAACTAATTAGTCTTTTCAGTGGCATTCAGATTTATTTAATTTTTTGATTAAATTCATTATATTGTTACCAATATTCATAAAAATATGGTGAACCTGAAGTTTTGTTTTGCTTACATAGTGTTGGCCATTATCTATTAAATGAAAGTCAAAGTGCAGTTAAAAGATAGGCATTTCAGGATGTAATTATGAAATGTGAACTAGAAATACAGCTAGGTATAATTGTTATCAAGTTTAACCAAAGTCATGCATGTAAATAAGGGTTGTTGATTAGGAGAAGTATGGAGCTGAAGATTTGAAAACCAAACAAACTCTTCAGGAAGTCCTTCAGCTTCGACTGAGTCTAGTTGGAGGAATGTTTGACATGGTACAGAGAAGCAATACCATGATGACTGAATGGGGAGTTTTACTGGTGCAGTTGATAAGTTTTGGTGTCATAGATCCTCAGACTGACAGGTACTGGTACCCTACCTTTAGGTCAATATAAGATGAACCCTTACATAAAACATTGTCTTTGATAATGTACAAGTTATTACAGTAAAGAAATAAAGCATATCAGTAATATATCTTGCTTATGCAGCTGCATCTATTTAAGTATAAACACGCTGAGAAACTTATTAAAACTGTAAACAAATAGACATGTGTATCTTTATTTTATTATTATTATTATTGTGCACTACCAGCTCTTAACATTGATTTAATTAATTTTTCAGTGAACTTTTTACAACTGTCCTGGACATGATGGCTGTTTTGATCCACACCACACAAGTTTCTGATACTTCATCAGGAGAAAGGGGAGAAGAGACCAGAAAACAATATTTAAATCTTGTTAAAAAATTAAAGGTAATAGATTTGAATTTTCAAAGAAATGTTCTTCTGATTTTTAACAGCAGTTTGTGATTGACATTTTCTTCTAATAAAATGTGAGTTTTCATTTAAGTAGTTAAATATAATTTTCTTTAGTTTCTATTGTGTTCTGTTTTAGTGAGCTAATTATTTTTTTATTTTAAACTATTGATAAAATATAATCATTTCAAAATGATACTATCTATATTTTTTAAACCCTTAATTTTGTTAGAAAATATAACTAAACTAGTTAACACAATATTAAAAGAATGATTAAAATTTAGTTGATTAAAGTATTAGGATTTAGAATAGGAAGTTATTGAAGGATACTAAAGTAATCCTCCTTATTTACAGTAAAAAAATGTTTAAATGCTGTTTCTACATTTTAGAAATTATTGAATCCATTTTGTAGAAATTGTTCTTTCTGTCCCATTAAAAAGAGCTTTGCTATTACAGAAAGAACTGTCAGACAAAATTACACCAGCCCTCCACATGGTTAGACAGTTGCTACCATTTCCAAAACAGCAGTGTGAAGTGATTGCTTGTGAGCCTATGGGGAGCTTGATTGATACAAAGGGAAACAAAATTGCAGGATTTGACTCTATAGATAAAAAACAGGTGAGGAAGTCATTTATTTGTTAACCTTTTTTCAATTATGTTTGTCATAAACATTATTACTGTCTGGATACTATGATGTTACAAATTGTCATGGGTGTGTTTAGAGGTCAAAACAGTTTTAGTTAAGGTAGCCATATTTGTTAAACAGAAGGTTGGCTAAAATGCCAGTAATAGTAGACTTTACGTTACGGTAACTAAAATTATACATAAGCTATCTTTAGTAGACAAGTTTATAAGCTGTATTTGTGAGTCAATAAGAATTCAGGCTAGCACACAGTACTCTATTCGAACAGTAGTTTATTTATTTTTGTTGGGTATAAACCTTTCTTAGACACCAGTGATGAGTGTACCAGAAATTACTCTTGCTGGTAATGTCATTGCAAAACCAATAACACTGACTATATTAGAAATATTACTGGGTATGGTAATTTATAATACTTATAATGTGTCTAGGGACTTCAAATATTTCTTCCGTTAGTAACTGTAATTATCTGAATTTGGAATATTATTTGTAAACCACTAGTAATGGCTATACTCAAACATTAGTTGTTTTAACAGTATTAATGTAATTTACTTTATTTGGATTCACCATTCTGATAATTTTATCATCAGTCAAAATTGACTAAAATATTTTTTGAAACTACAGGGCCTGCAAGTAGCAGAGAAACAACGAGTTAGTCCTTGGGATCTCTTAGAGGGCCACAAAAATCCTGCTCCTCTTTCATGGTCCTGGTTTGGAGCTGTCAGGATGGAACGAAAGCCACTTCGAGGAGAAGAAACGCACAGATTACTCCTTTGGCATACACATTCCCTTAAAAAACCTTTTTCTTACTTTTATGAACCACCACCACTTCCTCCAGAGGATCTCGAACCTCCACCTGAGAAACCTGCTCCAGTGAGTTTAATTCAGATTTTTTTTCAATTATTGTTGGCAATTTTATTCAGGTATTTTTTAACTCTAGGGTATATTTTAAATGAATAAGCAGATATCATCAAACTAAATAAAATAGTTAAATGTAATATTCATTAGATTTCGGTTAGAAGCTGGGTACAAGACCGTGTTCTCTGTACTAGGAAGTGTTTAATATAGTGATTAGAGTATATGGCTGGTCAGTATTAATGAGCGCTATGGAACAATAAAATAAAAATCGGTTTATTTTGATTCAGGGTTTCTGATAAGGTAAAAAAAAATATGTATTTCCATTTCATAATTTTTATGTATAAAATAACATTAGGCTGATACACTCACAAGTCTATAAGTCAATCTACAAAATGATTTGTTTTAAAATAGGTTCAGAAGGTCGTGTCCAACACAGTATCATTTTGTCTAAAGAACTTGTTAAACTTTTTACGTTATTTAGTGATCCACAAAAACAATTATTTGCTACTTTGTAAATATTTAGTAGAGAGGATATTAATAAAAACTTTTTCTGGATTACCAAAAAAATCTCTATGAGTTTTATAATTGAAGTAATAACTAAAGCAACTGGCAAAATAAATATGTTAATAAATATCAATCAATTTGACATTGATTGGATATATATTAAAAGGAATTTTCTCATCAACATTAAAAACATTTAAATCTTAAGAAAAAAGTATTTTTTAATAATATTTTTTTCAAAATAATGGAAATTTCATTACTTAAAAACGAATAAAATAAATGAACTATATCAAATAGCAGAGACCCACGAAACATTTGCAATCAAATTAGTATCTTTATTGCAACAGTATTTCTTTAAATACAAGATTTCTAGAATAATACAAATAAACTGTAATCGTAGACACTTAAATGTGTAAGTCCACTTGTATATAGGCCATACTTTTTAAAATTTTAATTAATGTTAGGTCTAAGTTTGATAAAGAGATAAATTAACACTAAGTTGAAACCTGTATACGTTTTTTAGTTTAGTTTAATTAGGACTAAAAGGCGTAAGTTTGATAAAAAGATAAATTAACACTGTAAGTTGGAACCTGTGTACGTTTTTAGTTTAGTTGAATTAGGACTAAACTTTACTGTACTTAATACAACTGATAAATAAACTTGTAATGTTATTCTAGGATATAATGTCAGGCCTTTCCAAAAACTTTAAACTTTTAATGCTGTTGTACAAAGTGGTTAGTAAAGTATATTAACATCTACCTTTTGTTGTTATTCCTTCATTCATAGAGCAGTTGTAGTGACTTATTCACTTAGCTTTGCAGCTCTTTGCCACAGGCAGGCTGGTTGTTGTCAAGTGTATAATGCACCTGTGTGGTTTTTTTTGGGTAAAATTTTTACTGCTCATGCTTGTAATGTATACTGACAAGCAGAATTATAGTATGATGATTTATATAAATTTTTCTCAGCCAAAACTAGATACTATTTACTAAATTTATTCTAAATTTCATGCAATTTAGTTAAGTATTTCCTTTGTGAGTAGGAAAAAAATCAAGGGATATAGGTGACACCCTTTTCTGGCCTGGAAATGCTTAATACAGTTAAAACCTCAAACAAGAACTCTGGAGTGAAAGGAGATTTGTTTACTTGTCTTCTCTACATCAAACAGTCCTTCCCAGCAGTATGCCATCATAGTCCTTCATATATGGCTTATCATATACTGTACCTTGCTATATTATTCATGCATCTTTTTTTAGAAAGTTGTAGAAGTGGTCAAATCTAAAGTTAATGAACAGATTACTTGACATCCATCTCTATAATTAAACTGTAACATCATAATCATATTTTTGCTGTATTTTTATGAAACAACTCTTTAATGTAATAGCTGGATTTCAACTTTAAGTACTGTGGGTATCTTCTAAAAACTTAACCAAAAGCATTTTAGATATTTTACTGGTTGTAGTCAGTCAAAATTGGATTAGTTAAACTTATATTTCAGAATTTGCTTTTTCACTAGGATGAAACAACCAAGGATCATTGTACAGTGTAAAGTAAACTTAGCTCTAATCTTTTAAGCTGTATATTATGTTTGTAGATAGAGGAACCAATCAAAAGAGGACGGGATACACCCAGTGAACAATCACCAAGGGCTGGAGCCAAGAAACCTAAACAAACTCGACGACGACGTCAGACCAAAATGGTAAGAGAAAGTATCGCTCTTTAGTAAAGTAGCAAAAGTATTGTTGAATATAATTAATATAGAACAGGAACTACTAGCTAAACACCCAATATAATAATTCAGGAAAGTACTAAATGTAAAGTGTTAACTTAGCAATTTAAAAAATTACTTTTATCAGTTATGTGTGTGACCATAACCAAAATGTGTAATACTTCATTGGGTATTGTGTAGCATAAGGTTGAACTCTTACTTTGTTAAGTGGGGATCAAGCACCAACCCTAGGTATATGTTTTAATATGAAAGGTTGTTGAGAATTGTGCTACCATAATATTGATTATTAAGTTTTTACAGCTTTTTTAGTTACACATGCCATGTTACATTAGTTAACTGAGCTTTTTTTTTTTTCTGTAGCAAACTGCCTCCATGCGAACAGGTATTAATTATGCTGACCCAGCTATGTACTCCCAGGGTCCACCACAGACTTGGTATGGCCAGCAGCCAACTCCCTACTACTCTCCTCAGCAAACACTGACACCTAGTGAGTGTTTACTCGTTATCTGTTATGTAATACATATAAGTAACTGAGCAGTGTATGGTTTGGATTTGTTCACTTTTTCTTTCACACCCTTTCTCTCTCATTGTTTTGTGTGTACAAGTTCAAGTGGTTTATGACGAAAATATAGTGTCAATGTTTGTTCTTTCTCATAGCAGGAGGACCTAGGTTTGAACGCCCCCTCTCACAGTCTAAGGCAGCTCTCAGTACAATGTTGCGGGCTCGGCATCCTGGAGCACAGTTCATGCCTAATCCTGGACCCAATTCCCAGCATCAGACGGGACCACCTGGCCATCCTGGGGCAGGTGGTCCTATGGTTGGGCATCCTGGTCCATATCAGAACATGGACATAATGCAAAAGAGGGCCATGATGATGAGACAACAGATTCGTTCTCAAGGAATGCCTGTAAGCCAAATACTGTTCTGCTATTCATCTTCAGATAGTTTATCATTTTTCAATTTAATTGTTTAGCTCTATGTTAATATTAATCACTGATGATTTGTAAATGCATATAGTTCTGTACAATTACCAAACTTTACAGTTTCACTAAAGATTATAAGGTAGTTTTAGATCATGTAGTTCTCTTTTACACATTAAATGTCATCACTGTATGTAACTTCAGTTGTAGATCATTGTTTTACATATCTGGCCCTGTTGATTTGCATAATAGACCACTGTCTCTACACCTCACATTTTGTTTGAAATATTTTTTTCTTTTTCTACAGCCAAACATCTTGTGTCAGTCCAGGTATAGACCATGTCTTCATACTATAACAAAGTGTATTAGTCTGTAATGATCTTCAACCTTCTTCATCTATCACTGTTTGTGTGTCAGTCCCTATAACAGATATCACATTATGTAACTAACACTATGTTGCAGATTAAATAAAAAATGTTATCTTTGTAACTCAGTGTTATATGTTAGTTCAGATGTCTTTCTAATCCAGAACATTGTATCAGTCAGAGTTTTATTGATAAATACTTGTGTTTTGGGTTTTTACTGAACATACCATTTCTTGTGATCTGTGGTAAATGTCTTGTACTAATAACATTTATTGCTTTTTATTAGATATTTCCCAGTGTGGTAGAATGGTTTTGTTGTAATAGTAATTACATACTTAATTTCTTTTTTACTGGATGTTCCTAGATTTGGTAAAGTGATTTGGTTCTTACAGTAATAACGTATTTAATTTTGTTTTTTCTGGATGTTGCTCTACATGGCAGAATGATTTGGTTCTAGTAGTAAGTACATATTTAAATTTCTTTTTAATGAATTTTCCTACTTTTAATAATTGTGGTTTAGTTCTTATGATAATAACATATTTAGTTTTCTTTTTCCTTGATCTTTCCCGGTGTGATAGAATGTTTTGGTTTTGGTAGTAAGGACATATTTAGATTTATTTTTGTTGGATGTTGCTACACTTGATATTGTGACTTAATTCTTGTAGTAATTACATAATAAAGCTTTGTTTTAGTTGGACATTTTAACATGTAATAGTGAGATTGTTCATTTAGGAAATTATATTTTTTTAGGTTATTCATCCTGTTATATTCTATTTCAATCCTTTAGCAGTTTTTGTTTTTACTCAGTGTTCTTTTTAACCAGAAAGTGTATATTTTGTTTATAGACATTATATATGTAGTTTTCTTTTATATAAATTATTTTATACCATCTACTGTGTTTTGAATCTTGTAGCAATTCTCTAGTTACTTCTTTTTTTTGTTCTTGTTGTTGAATGATTTTTAAACGTGTATTTTTGTAATTAATGAGTATTCTTGTACCTGTTCTTATGGATTGCTGTTTGTGTTAATTATAAATTGTGCTTGTTCTTCACCTTCACTATTGATCATTATTGCAGTTATTATTATAAGATATTATAATTACCTATGATTATTTATTATAACAGAAATGTCTTTTCCATAGACAAACCAGGGAGCCATGTATCCTCCCAACATGCAACCTACATCAGGCCAGACAGCCCCTCTTCACCATTTACCTCCACAAGGTAAGTTAACCAGTGTTGTATTTGTATTGGTTGTATGATTGTTTATGTGTTTTGCCAAAACACTGTATATGTATTAACCTTAATGTAGAACACTTAATCTTGTATATACTATAAATTTTTTATTTGGTTTGAAATACATAATATTTAATGACACTTTTTTTTCTGTCACATAATGTTGTAATCTTTACTTGTGTATTTCCTGTTGTTATTGAGTTGTCTTACTGGTAGCCAATGGAAAAAATAGCAAATTTAATTACTCCAAAAACAGTTAATATACGAGTCTGAATATTTAATATCTGAATGTAATTATTTTAAAAGTTAATTTTTGGAGTGAAAATACACCAGAGCCTATCACATAAGTATATAAATTTGTAATGAACATTTTTTGTTGGAAATCTTTTTAAGCATTCTTTGAATATCAAAGATACATGTTAGGGCCTGGGTGAATTTATAAATAGTCACATAATGAATAATACAGTGGAGATCTATGTCTACACTTTAGTACTTTTAGTAGGATTACTGTGAACTCTACCAAGACCTAAGCATATTACAGATTAGGGATTTGACAGTAAATGTAGGCATAGTAAATTACAACTATGATAATGTTCAGCATTATTATAGGATTGAGTTTCTGTGAACTGGAATAGTGCTTTTTCTCTTCCTGCCTGTCACACACCTGCAAAAGCTGCTTTCCATAATTATAATGCTAAGACTCAGCATTGGGTTATGCTGTTCCTAAAATGAACATTTTTCATCGTTGACTTCCTAAATGTATGAGCATTGAGGTTGATGAATTCAATATGTCAGCTCCCATACAAGCGTGAGACTTGTAGTAGGTAACAATAAGGCTTACTCTGAATGTGGATACCACAACTTCAAATGACATATTAATAATATTTGCTCTGAAAATATATGCAGAATGTTAATTTGGAAATTGGTTATTTGGTAAGACCTTATATTTATACGTAGGAACTTTAGAATTTAGTTAACGCTGACATTGTCAGTGAGCACCTTTTATGTGTTGAGTGCACACCTGCATATCAGTTATCAAAACTTGTACAATAATTAAGATTGTAACACTGTTCCAACAGTTCTTTACTGACAAATACTTAAGAATTGACATTTTGTCATTTTATAACATTCTTTTTGTGTAATTTGCAAAGAAAAATTTACTTCAGACTTGCATGTTTGCACCACTGTGAGAAGTCTTGTCTGTAAAAAAGTGCTCATCAGTTGTTTTGGAATATGAAATAGTTACAAGCAAAACGTAAATACCACTAGGTGGAGCAAATTATAAACTATTTACATCAGTGTAAAAAATGAATAAAGTGGTTTGAGAATCTTATGGTTTTGTGAGAAAGTGATTAGATATAACTCCTCCAGAGAACAATAATTGAATATAGTGGGAAATTTAGTTTTAGAAATTGTTGTATGGTTTCTTTACATATTATTTTTGTTTGAAAGGTATTGCAATTTTCTTGTATGATGAGACATCAAGTATGCCTTATTAGGTTTAGAGAGTATGATTGGTCATGGGAACAAAATATTCTGGTTACTCAATACTTATTTATTGAATATTATTGTTAATTTTGTTGTATTTACATTATGCAAGTAATTCAAAAAAGGTATAATTTATTGAGAAAAAGTATTTCTACCTAGCCTGACCTGACACCACTTTGTCAATTTATTTGGTAGTTTTTGTTACTTATGGTTGGAATTGGTGACTACTGCTATTGGCAAAATAATATTTCAAATAAATTAGGTTAAAGTTGGCTGGTTATATGAAATGAAACTTTCTCTTTTACAATGAAATGCTAAGTGTTTTAATGGTTTTTTGCAAAACATTACCTTTGACAAGTTCACAACATAAAAAAATGATATAAAAAGTAAATCAAAATTATATTAAATTTTTAAGACAACAAGGCTGATGAAACAATGCATTCTAGTTTGTATAAGTAAAAATGTAAGAACTTGTATTGAATTTTTTTTGTCTGATGTATGTAGGCAATTAGCATTGGTAAGAAATTAACTATAATGGTGTAAAAGTAATTTCATATTATTAAACATAAGTGATATATATGACACACAGTAATGCCACAGGTAACTCTTCTTCACATGATATCTCAGACTGTAAAAAAGTGTTTTCATTATTGAATATCTGAAATAGAACATTCTCACCTGTTAGGTATGAATCAAGGATATGGTAGCTACAATGGTACTCCCATGCAGCAAACTGCTGGAATGATGGAAAGTCGGACTGGGACTATGATGCAGTCTAGCTACAATCAGTCATATGGGACGCCTCAAGGTGGAACTGGGATGATGGGACCCGGACCGCTGAGAAGCCAACAAGGCCAGTACATGCAAGGTGGAAGGTTAGTGAACTCATAATGAGTATAAAAAATAAATTGTGCTTTTGACATTAAAAAATCAACTTTATTAAACTGATAGGTAAGTCATAAAAATATAAATAATCAAACTTTTGAATCATAATATGCTGAATTAAGATAAGTCATAAGAAAATGTGGTGAAAGATGCCAGGGAGTTAGACTGAAGAATCATAAGAAGACGTGTTGAAGCAGATTGGTTAATTTTAGCAAAGTGATGAGTCTGGTTAGTAAGTCTTAATAAAATGTGGTAATTCAGGCTGGTGAGTCATAAAATGTGACAAATTAAGATTGGGAGTCATATTAAAATTTTATGAATCAGCTTGATGAATTGCTAAAAATAGCACTTTGTGGCCATGGGTGCATTATAAGAGTAAGAGTCAAATCCAACTATTCAATTAGAGCTGGTTTGAGTGTGTTTTGACTAGCTGCCTTCCATCTAGTCTATCAGTTCAAAATTAAGGCCAATAAAGCAGATATCCCTTGTGTAGCTTTGTTAAATATCCAAAACAAACAAGGTAATAAAATGTAAACCATAAGAATTACAGTTTCAAGCTACATCAACTGGTTAACCCTGTGAATCATAGAGAATGTCATTCAGTGAAAATTTATATGATATTAAATGCAATATTGATGAACTAAAGCTTGTGTAGTAATTAAATATACTAAATAATAAAAAAAATATTTCTGTAGGTGTTTATTATTAAATTTTTTTTGTAAATACATTGGGATGCCCAGCATGGCCAGGTAGTTAAGGAGCTCGACTCACAATCCGTGGGTCATGGGTATAAATCCCCGTAACACCAAACATGCTCGTCCTTTCAGCCGTGGGGGCATTAAGATGTGACGGTCAATCCCACTATTCCTTGGTTAAAGAGTAGCCCAAGAGTTGGCAGTGGGTGGTTATGACTAGCTGCCTTCCCTCTAGTGTTACACTGCTAAATTAGGGATGGCTAGCGCAGATAGCCCTCGTGTAGCTATGCACAAAATCCGTAACAAACAAACAAACAAGTACATTTGGTTTAATATTGATTAGTTTATTTTAACATTAATGAAGTTTTGTCACTGTTTCAGGCCTCAGTACCCGATGACTCAAGCAGGGCTGCAGCCTCCTAATGTGACTGCTGGACAGATGGGTTCTGTATCACAAATGGTTCAAGGTGGAACTCCAAACTATGGAGCTGCAGCAGCCAATCCAGGGAACATGACAGGGATGGGGGGTGGCCCTCCAATGCAGCACATGTTGTTGGCCATGCAGAAACAGCAGTCCCAGCCAGCTAACCTAGTAGCTCAATTACAAAGACAAGGACCTCAGCAACATCATCCTGGCCCGTATCACCAGCCTGGACCTTATTGACGTAATAAAAGTGTTAAAAGTAATACCTTATGATCTGCCACCTGTTATAAATTTCACTTATAATGCCCAACTTGTCATAGTTGTCCTAGACTTTACTCATAACGAATGAAAACACCAACATGGTTATCATGTGGCTTATTGCCACCTCTGTGTGTATGTGTGTGTGTGTATCCAAAACATTATTAACTAATGTGTGTCATTTAAAACAAGATTATTATAGAGCATAGACCTGTCATTCATAAGTGTTAAAGAGTGCTGTAATAGTTGTCTGGGACCTTACCACCAGTCTAGAGCTTACTGATACATTAAAGAAGTACCTTGAAAAGTATTATGGGTACTACCACCAGCCTTGAAACTTACTGATGTTTGTATCTGTGTGCACTGCCATATCTACTGTAGCCTTTATTGTTGTGAACTTTACTAATTAATAATGTGTAGAAATACTGACATATACATACCCTGAACTGTACTACCAAATACAAATTCTGCTGATGTATTTTCATAATGTTTGTCACAGTTTTCTTAGCCTCTTCTGTGAAAGATTGTGTTTACAGGAATTGTATTACAGTTTTGCTACCTCCTACTCTTTTATTTGTATCTACAGGAATCTTTTCACAGTTTTGCTAGCCTCGATTCCTCAGTTATTGTGTGTGAAGAATTTATTAACATTTCCTCTGTCCCACACTGTCTTTTTCATTTGTATTTTTAATATATTTTGGGAAACTTTGTCTATCCCATAATACATTTATCTTGTAACAGCTCTCATTTACTCTTATTTTTTCATGATTTTTAGTGTACAGACTCTTTAAATTTTCCTAATTTTATTGTGTTTTATAAATATAGTGACAATTTTCCTGTATGTAATTTTTCTTTACTGCAAAAATTGTAACAATTTCTCTGTGTATTTATTCTCTAGTTTTGTGTTTACAGGAATAATATAAATGTTTCTTTATAAATGTTCTGATGAAAGAAATCTTCTTACTTTTTTTTTTCTTTTTGTTACAGAAATCTTATAACAACACCCCTGGTGTGTGCTATCTTTTATGTTCATGTATACAAGGATCTTATAAATCACTTTTTCTTGCCCCTGACCACATTTAATTTTAACAACTTCCATGTTCATTATGATTCATTATTGTTTTATATTCAAGAAACTTGAAACATAACAGTTTTTTTTTTAGGTTCATACTGTCTTTTCAGTGTTGTATATAGAATAATTGGTTGTATTTTCTTGTTCCTTACTGTCCTTTTTTTGTTAAGTAGACAAGAACTTTTGTGAAAGTCCAGATCTTTATTCATGGTGTATTCTTTGCACAGTCTCTACCCTCTACTATGCCTTGAAGAAAATTTGTTAGTTTTATGGCTTCTACACTTTTTTCATGAGTTGCATGATTTTCTATGACAGTTACCATGGATGCTACTAACCTTTGCTGGTGTGATTTCAGAAAACTTCAGCTACTTTGGACCTTACTAATGCATTTACTGGAATCTTGGTACCATTACTTGGGACCTTACTAATATATCTGTATACGGAAATCTAGGACCATACTGATGTATACATGCACAAGAACCTTGGCACATCTCTATTGGTTCCTACCGATGTGCATATTTACACTAGCTCTGGAATTCTTATCATTATGTGTGGAATTCCTTTTCATGTGTATATATAGATATAAATATATGTGTATAGATAGATATATAAAAGTTGTATATAAACTGTAAATATATTCATTAGGTGATATCCTTCTAGGAAATCATGAGTTGTATCTTTGTTTAGTGTATGCCTAAAAAACATATGATGTTTGTCTTAATCGTGTCTTAAATAAGGTGAACAGAATGTTGCTTTTTTTTTTTTGAAACAGCCTTCTCAAGCATAAAGTGTTTGTGATTTAAGATTTGAATTTTGGACTGGGTAAAATAAGCATGTAAGATTGAAGATTGGAATGGTTTATGAGTGAAAGACGTTGCTTTAGCATTTCATTTTCATGTGTAAAGAACTGAATGACTCGTGGGTGGTGGAGTTTATAAATTGAAGTATAAGCTAATGAATGATACATGAGTAGACTTAAAGTTGAATGATTTATGGGGTGGCGGATATTATTATGGGACTTTTTTATTTTAAAAAAGGCCAGTTTAACAAATGTATTTATAAAAATAACAGCTTGTTTTATAGTAACTGTTTAATTTCCTGGGTCACAGTAAAAAATTGAATAACAAGAGTGATTTTGTGGACAAGATGATTTAAGTTAAATGTGATATTTTTATGTCACTATAAATTGCAAAAACAAAATTATCTTGGCATCAAAACATTTTAGAAATGCAAGTTTTACACGTCTTTGTACACTATTGGAAAAGTAAAAATTTCAGTTATCAAAATGTTATGAGAAAAAAAGAGAAAAAGAAAAAATAACTTGAGAAAAAAAAAAGAAGTAATTAATTTAAGTATGTCAGTATTATAGACAAATCAGCCAGCTTTATGACATATTTGAGCTGTGTTGCTGCATTCCAACCATGTTGAAACTTAATATTCCACCACTGGGTGCTGTAACTTAGTCTTGGATGTGGAACCCAGTTTTAGGAAGATTGAAAAATTTGAACTAGTGGGTAGATTTGATGTTTATTTCATGACAAAAGTTACTCTGAAATATCTCAAGAAGGAAACAAATGTAATAGAAACTATTTATTTACTATAAATGAAGGAAAAATTAAAAAAAAACTGAAGTTGTTTGTGTGTGTCATTGATGAACCTTTATAATTCACATTTTCACCAATGATAAGTTTAAAAAGTGTGGTGGTATTCTCTGGTAAAATTGAAACCAGTGGGTAGGTGTTTTATTTGAAAAACAGGAGATTCTTACATTTACACGCAGAGTCAAATTCAGCCAAAAATTTGTTTCACTTTGATATAAAAAATATAACAAACTTATTAGACAACTCACAGATAAAAGCAACACTAGACAGTTGGAATGGATTCAGTGAACAGTCTACAAAAGCAAATCTGACTTGTTACTTCAACAAAGGCAGTTCTGCTTTAGAACTTTAATGGTGTGGAACTATATTGAAGTTCAAGATCTGCTTGGGCTTCCCAGAATGCCACATCACATACATTAGGAGACAACTCTCATTATCAATGAAATATGTACATTCAATGAGTATTGTTACAACAAAATATGCACATTCATTGAGTGTTGTTACAACAAAATATGTACATTCATTGAGTATTGTTACAACAAAATATGTACATTCAATGAGTATTGTTACAATAAAATATGTACATTCAGTGAGTATTGCTACAAGAAAATATGTACATTCAGTGAGTATTGCTACAAGAAAATATGTACATTCAGTGAGTATTGCTACAAGAAAATATGTACATTCAGTGAGTATTGTCACAATAAAACATGTACATTCAGAGTATTGTCACAACAAAATATGTACATTCAGAGAGTATTGTCACAACAAAACATGTACATTCAGAGAGTATTGCCACAACAAAACATGTACATTCAGAGAGTATTGTCACAATAAAACGTGTACATTCAGAGTATTGTCACAACAAAATATGTACATTCAGTGAGTATTGTCACAACAAAACATGTACATTCAGAGAGTATTGTCACAACAAAATATGTACATTCAGTGAGTATTGTCACAACAAAACATGTACATTCAGAGAGTATTGTCACAACAAAATATGTACATTCAGTGAGTATTGTCACAACAAAACATGTACATTCAGAGAGTATTGCCACAACAAAACATGTACATTCAGAGAGTATTGTCACAACAAAATATGTACATTCAGTGAGTATTGTCACAACAAAATATGTACATTCAGTGAGTA